AAAACATTGAAATATAAAGACAAGGAGATTGTGGTCCTGAAACAAGTACCCAGAAGAGTGAGAGAGATGACAAGAGAATACAGATTTTTGACCAAAATGCGACTTAAAAAAGAGGTGAATTATAGATGGCTGATTCCAGAAGGTTTAATGTTCACATGGCAAGAACAGAGACATAGAATTGACTCAACTGAGAAAGCTGAATCATTTTACATAGAATTTTTTGGAGGGAAAGAGGAAGAGGCAGAAAAAGAAATCTCACTAATTGAATTCCAAGAGGACTGCCAAATGGCAACTGAAAAAGAAGAAGGTGCAGTAGGTGGAAAGGTGGAAGCCAAAGAACAACGTGAACCAAGATCTACGAGAGCTGCTAAACCTAACTACAAAATATAATCATGGAAGAGAAAAAACTGATTACAATTAATATAAATGGACTTAACTCAGCTGTTAAAAGAAGGAAAACTTTCCATAAATTAGAGAAATTAAAATTTGATATAATCTGCCTACAAGAAGTACATATCAAAAAGCAACATGAACAACTGTTGATACAGCCAAAATTAGGGAAAATATTTACCTCTTTGACACAATACAAGAGAAGAGGAGTGGTTTTATACATTAAAGATATTATCCCAGCGAAATTGATCTATACTGATGACAATGGAAGAACACTAATGGTGGAAATAATGGACAATAATATGAAAACACTCCTGATTGCAATCTACGCCCCGAATGACAATCAAGAAGAATTTTATAAAAAAATTACACATGAAATTAATTGAACTGGACTATGCTAATATAGTTATGATGGGAGATTTTAATGGAATTGTAGATAATAAACTGGACTATATAGCACAGAAAACACCAAAGCAAAACAGAAAGACTCTCCCTAAATCTTTTTTTAAAATGGTAGATGAAATAAACTTAAAAGATACATGGAGAGAAAGAAATGCTAAAACTAAACAATACACCTTCTACTCAAATAGACATTTATCATGGTCTAGAATAGATATGATATGGATGTCAACCGAATTGTTAGATAATATTCAAGAAATAAATATTGAAACAAGTACTTGGGCAGATCACAATCCAATGACAATTAAATGGAAAGGACAAAGAAGAAGATCTAGATAGACGTTAAATAATACTATATTAAAGGAAAAAGACTTCACACGGTGGATGGAGAAAGAACTGGCTTTCTTCTTTAGAGAAAACAAAAAAGAAGATACATCAATCCAGAATGTATGGGATACAATGAAGGCATATGCCAGAGGCTTGATAATAGACTATACAAGGAAAAGAAATACCATGAAAAGACTAGCCTCTACGGCATTAGAGGATGAGTATAAAGGACTTGAAAAAGAGCTACAGAAAATGCCACAGAAAAAGGACATTAAGTTAAAAATGGATATAATCAAACATAAAATGGGTCTATTAGAAAAAGAAGAATTAGCACAGAAAATCAGAGGTGCTAAACAGAACTATTTTGAAGATGCAAATAAACCAGGTAGATGGTTAGCAAATAAATTAAGGGGAAAGAATCAAGGAAAATATTGCAATTAATAGATGACCAAGGCCAAGTTTGCTATGGTAGTAAAGAGAAGAAGGAAATCATACGAGACTATTATGGGAAACTATACACACAAGAGAATATTGATGAGAAAAGAGTTAAAACAGTATTTGCAGAATGCTAATTTACCCCAGATACCTAAAGAGATTGAAACAATGTTAGAAAGCAATATAACCATGATGGAGTTCACTGAAGCACTCAAGAAGCAAAATAATGGAAAGGCACCAGGCCCAGATGGACTTCCAGCAGAACTTTATAAAACACTACAAGAATCACTGAACTTTCCATTGCTAGAAGTTATGAAGTTATGTTAAAGAAAAAGATACCAAAATCATGGTCAGAAGCTTATATTACACATGTCCCAAAAGAGGAGGCCGATCCATTACAAATCAAGAACTATAGACCAATTTCCTTACTAAACGCAGATTGTAACATTTTTGCTTCAATATTGGAAGACAGACTTAAAAAATACTTAAACAATTTCATCCATCCTGATCAAAATGGATTTCTGCCAAAGAGACAAATTAAAGATAATATGAGAGTAACCTTGGACACTTTGGAAGACTATGAGGCACACCCTGAAAAACAAATGGCTTTGATATTTCTAGATGCACAGAAGGCATTTGATAATGTGAATTGGCGATTCATGTTATTACAACTGGAACAGATGGGCTTTGCTAAAAAAATTATTCAAGCAATAGAAGTTTTATATCATCAGCAAACGGCAAAGGTAATGATAGAGGGAGAACTGACAGACTATCGATATAAGAAAAGGAACAAGACAAGGGTGCCCACTGTCACCTCTGTTGTTTGCGTTAACCTTGGAAGTGCTAAAAAGAAATATTAGAGAAGAAAAGGATATAAAAGGGATGAAAATTAAACAGGAAGAATTTAAGTTGCAAGCATTCACAGATGATCTGGTTTTCATTTTAGAAGACCCACTAGAAACAGCATCAAAATTGATAGAAAAGATAGAGGCATATGGAAAAGTGGCTGGTTTGAAAATAAACAAAGATGAGACAAAGATCTTGACAAAGAATATGCTATCGAGACAAAAGGAAGAACTGGCAGATCTATTGAAAATTCAAGTCACGAATAAGATCAAGTACTTGGGGATACATTTGACAGCAAGATGCAGTGCACTAAAAGAGAATAATTATATCAAACTTAAGCAGCAGATAGCGTTAGATTTGGTGAAATGGGAAAATTGACAACTGTCATTAATCGGGAGAATATCAACAATCAAGATGAATATGCTACCCATAATTTTATATTTGTTCCAAACAATTCCAATTAGGCTTGGAAAAAAGATTGCTTTGAAGATTTAAATAAAATCGTGTTGAAATTTTTATGGCAAGGAAAGCAAGAATAAAGCTAAAGCTTTTGCAAGATGCTAGAATAAGAGGAGGACTTGGTTTGCCTAATTGGGAGTTGTATTACCAAGCTACAAATTTGATGTGGGTTAAGGAATGGATAACATTAAGAAACACTGGATTGTTGACATTAGAAGGACATGATCTGTTGTTGGGGTGGCATGCTTTTCTATGGTATAAAGGAACTAAATCACAGGGGTATTTTAGAAGACATTATATATGGGAGTCTCTGTGGTTAAATTGGGAGAAGACTAAAAGAAATGCTATTTGAAAATTCCAGTCTGTCTATTAACTATTGAAGCATTTTCTTATCCTATAATATACAAAAAGGAACAAACAGATATGGTGTGAAATATTGAATGAAAAGGGTGAACTTAAATCTATACAAAAATTAGAGGAACAAGGTATAAAGATG